GATTAACCGCGATAAACGAGGGTTCACTGTACCTTTCTCATCACCTCGCACCCTGTTCACATGTTCTTGGGATGCAACACTTTGAAAGACAACACAACACAAAACCGTCTAGCAGTTTCCACAACGCCCAAGGGTGGGACAAAGGGTCCATGCCCTTGGCAGCTAACAGTCAGGTCAGAGACTGAAGTTCTCAGAAGAAAGCCTGGCAGTTCACTTCTGAAAAGGGATGAAAAACCAAACACAGCAACGACAACCCCACGGACCCCAGTTCTACACGGCTGCACGTGGGTCGTCCCGGCGGCCAGAACAAACAAGCAAACAACCCCCTGCCATCGAGTCGGTTCTGATGCATGTTGACCCCAAAGGGCAGGGTTTCTGAGACTAGATCTTTCTGGGAGTAGAAAGCCTCATTTCTCTCCCCTCCCTCCGGGCAGCATCTGGCCCCAAAGTCATGTCCCAGGACAGCAGTTTCCCAAAGTGGGCGCTCCTACCCCCGGTGGGAGCTGGGATGGTGTGGGCCAGCCACAGAGCAACGCGAGACGGGCGCAGGATTGGGCTGTTTCCTTCTGTTGGGCGTTACGGTCGCTACGAGTCGGGGACCAACTGGACTGCGCTTCAACCTCAAGGTCACTGCCATGCAGTCAATTCTACCCTGTAGGGTAGAGCTGCCCCTGGGGCTTTCTGAGACTGTGACGGTTTACGGGAAGAGAAAGCCTCCTCTTTCCTCCCGAGGAGCAGACAGGGGTCTTGAACTGCTCACCTTGCGGTGAGCAGCCCAACACATAACCCACGAAGCCACCAGGGCTCCTCGGACCAAGGACGGGGCTGTGGGGAGCTGTGGGAGCAGACGCTGAAACCTGACCCTGGATGACAGGCTATGGAACAGGAGGTGCTGTGTAATACTTTTTTTCTGACAAGGGGGCGAGGGCCACGTGAGTTTGGGAGACGTGGGTGACAGGGGGAGAAGTGGGAGGTGCTGAGGGGATAAAGGAGCTGAATCTGAACGCGTGTGGATTGTTGAATTAGAGCGATTCTCTGCTCTGTAGACCTTGGCCTCATTCACAACAAAAAGTTAAAATAAAAAAAATTAGCCACACGGGCTCTGTAATCTCACCCCCTAGGTCTATACTCAAGAGAAATGGGAGCTTAGGGCAACCAACAAGCAGGTAAAAATTTGTATGAATTTGAATTCCTAATAGTCCACTATTCATCCTGAAACACACACACACACACACACACACACACACACAGTGCCTCAAACTCACAGCTGTGCGTGGATGCCAACCCACAGTGACCCTATAGGCTAGGGTAGAACTGCCCTTGTGAGTTTCCAAGACTGTCACTCTCTACAAGAGAGAAATGTTAACTGGCCATCTCTGTACAGGGGAATGTTGTCATTGATCAAGAAGGACCCACTGAGACTGTCACTCAAAAACCCGCTGTGGTCGGCCTGATTCTGACTTAGAGCGGTCCCACAGGACAGCGTAGAACGGCCCCTGTGGTCTCTGAGTCTGTCGATCTTTATAGGAGCGGGCAGCCTCATCTTCCTCCCTGGAGCGGCTGGTGGATTTGAACTGCCCACCTGGTGCTAACAGCCCAATGCTTAGCCCACAGCATCCCCCAATCCCCCCTGAAGAGCCTCACAGATATGAGAAAAAAACCAGACATAGGATTCCATTTTTATGAGGCTCAAAATGAAGCAATATTCTAAACATCTCAAACCCAAACAAAGCGCACTGCCACCAAGTGGATCCCAGCTCCTAGCGGCCTTCTAGGCCAGGGTAGAACGCCCTGTGGGACTCCGAGCCCGTAACTCTTCATGGGAGTAGAAAGCCCAGTCTTTCTCCCGAGGAGCGGCCGGTGGTTTCAAACTGCCGACCACGCAGATCACAGTCCGATGCACAACCAGGACACCACCAGGGCACCACCGGGTTTTAGCAGCGTGGCTAAAGTGACAGGCCATGAAGGATGAGCCCTGCTGACCCCAGAGGCTCAGTGACACCACAGGACAGGGTAAGGGCCCCAGAGGGTTCCCAAGGTGGAAATTTGCCCAGAATCAAAGCGCCTCGTCTTCCTCCTGTGGAGTGACTGGGGGGTTTGAACTATGGGCCTTCTGGCTAGCAGCTCCTCTTGTAACCCACTGCGCCCCCAAACTCACTGCCATCGGGTGGGTGCTGGCTCCTAGCGACCCTGCAGAACAGGATCATACTGCCCCTGTGGGTTCCTGAGACTGTAACTCTTTATGGGAGTAGAACGCCTCATCATTCTCCTCAAGAGCAGCTGGTGGTTTCGAACAGCTGACCTTGCGGCTAGCAGCCCAATGCACAACTCACTAAACCACTATAACTCCTTAGTATGAAGTGTGGGTGAGGCCAAATTTTCATTAAAAAATTTTTATTTTGAGGCCAATTTTCTTCTGATGAATTTTCTGCATTTCTAGTATGATCCTGGATATTTACATGAAGTGAGCAGTGGTGCAGCCCTTCCCTGGCTGCTTCTGAAGCTGGTCCGCAGTGGGTGCCTGTGTTCGCCCATCTCAGACGGCAAGCAGGCAGGCCTCCAGCCACTCCTTCCACCCTTTGACTTCTCTGCTCTGCCTGCCAATTCCTACCACCCTTGGGCCTTGGAGGATCGGGTCAGCTGTCCCATGGCCACTCTAGGACTTGTACTTAGGAGGAGGGGGACCTCCTGAGACTGGGCCCGGCTGGCGCTCAGGGAATCAGGTGGGCCAGGCAGACCCTGCCTGCAGCTCTGAGGCAGGGGGAGTGAAAAGGATAAGGTCATCTGGGACCAAAATGTCCACCACTGACCTGCCTGCTGCCCTGGCTCTCCCAGGCCCCACGTGGCGACCGTCTCCCCGGGCCACGCCGTGCCGCCGACTCACCCTCTTCCACCCCGGTGACGATGGAGGCGAAATTGTCATCCAGCAGGATCATGTCAGCTGCCTGCTTGGATACGTCTGAGCCGGCGATGCCCATGGCCACGCCAATGTCGGCCTTCTTCAGAGCAGGGGAGTCGTTCACGCCGTCGCCAGTCACCGCCACGATCGCTCCCTGGTGCGGGGTGTGTGTGTGAGCATGGCACACAGGTCTGGTCCTGGCCCCTCCTCCTCCAATCCCACGGGTCCCCTCCCCGTCAGACCCAGGAGTCCAGGCCTTCAGCCCCTCCTCCCCTGACTAGGAGCTCCCTCGCCCGCCCCCTGGCCCTGGCCCTGAGCCCGGCCAGCCCACCTGTCTCTGACAGCCCTCCACAATGATGAGCTTCTGCTGGGGGGATGTGCGGGCGAACACGATCTCCGTGTGGTTCTGCAGGATCTCATCGATTTGCTCGGAGCTGAAGTCCTTGAGGTCCGTGCCGTGGATCACACAGGCCTTGGCATCCCTGGGGAGAGCAGAGAGCCGGCCAGAAAGGTCAGGGGGTGAGGCGGGCTGCAGCCTAGACTGCAGATGGAGAGCAGGACTGGACAGACTCACAGACAGGAGGACCGATAGAGGATCTGAGTGCTGGAGTGGGGCGCCAGAGATAGAGGGGAAGGGGGCGGGAAGGGAGGATGCAGCAGTATGGAGAAAGGGTAGACTGAAGGAAGGACCGTGGAGCAGTGGGTTTAGAGAGATGGACAGGTAGAACCAGGTAAGAGAGCTGTGGGGGGGAAGGGAGCAGAGGGGGAAGCTGAGGAAGTCTGAAAAACAGAGCAGAGGTGAGAGAGACAGACAGACAAAGATAGGCAGGAAAAGAGAGAGATCAAACTCAGAAACTTCAAACGCCACAAAGCTGATTTTGACTCGTAGTCACCCTCTAGGATGGCCTAGAACAGACCCCGTGGGTTTCCAAGACATAACACCTTATGGGAGCAGAAAGCCTCGTCTCTTTCCCACAGAGCAGCTGGGGATTCTGAACCGCTGCTGCTGCAGTTAGCAGCCTGATGCGTTAGCCCACTGAGCCACTTGCGCGCCATTAAGAAGAGAGGAGGACCCAGAGAACATGGGGACTCCCTGAGCCCTCTGTGCTGGGAGTCCTCACAGCCCCATTTCAGAGAGATGGACACTGAGTCTCGGGGAGGTGAAATGACTTGCCCAAGGTCACATGACTTGCGTGACAGAGCCGGTATGTGAACCTACTCCTCACGGACCTTAAAACTCATATGCCTGCAACATCAGGCTCGGGGGCTGGGTGGACGCTGGAGAACTGAAGTCCCGGCCCTGGAGTCTCGGGGGGTAGGGGATGGAGGGAGGCTGATACCAGGGTGACACCCTGGAGGGGCTGGGCTCACCGGGGGTTGACCTGGCTGACGGGAATGTTGAGCCTGGCAGCAATGTCCTCGACTGTCTCGTTGCCCTCTGAGATGATGCCCACGCCCTTGGCGATGGCCTTGGCTGTGATGGGGTGATCACCCGTGACCATGATGACCTGTGGGCGTGGTTAAGAGCAGGTCCAACCTCAGTGCTGGCCCCTGGGTCCCAGCCCCCCCTCCCCCCTCCCCCCTGCGAGGCTCTCCCAGGCCACACCTTGATGCCCGCGCTGCGGCACTTGCCCACCGCATCGGGCACGGCGGCCCGGGGAGGGTCGATCATGGACATGAGGCCCACAAAGCAGAGGTTGTCTGTGGTGAAGTTCACGTCGTCACAGTCGAAGGCAAAGCCCTTGGGGAACTGCTCCTCCGGCAGGTAGAAATGGCAGAAGCCTGGGGTCAGGGGCAGAGGGGAGGGAGGGTGTGAGGACTTTATCCAGGCCCCCCCACCCCCCACGGCACCCAACCAGAGAGCTTCATCTCCTGAGCCGGCCTCCCCCTTCATCACTGCCGTTGATGCATCCTGGGGGGCCCTGGGTCCACCACGGCCATCCGGGCTCCCCGAACCCACAGGCCCCCTTCCCCAGTGCCCTGGTCCCAAGGGGAGCCCCTGCCCGCCGGCGGCCGCGGTGCGCACCGAGCACGCGCTCGCCCAGGCCGCCGAGCTCCAAGTAGGCGTTCTGGAAAGCCTCCTTCATCTCCTCGTCCAGAGGCTGCTCCTTGCCCTGCAGCAGGATGGTGGCGCAGCGGTCCAGGATGCGCTCGGGCGCGCCCTTCATCACCAGCAGGTACCGGTTGTCGTTGGGGTCCTCGGTCTCGTGGATGGACAGCTGCGGGCGGGGCGGAGGGCGGGGCTGCCTGAGAGGACGGCCCGCCCGGGGTGCCGCAAGGACAGACATCCTGAGGGCGCCAGGGGTTGACCCGCCCAGGGGTTGAACCTGGCGCTGCCCTTGCACCTGGGGACCCGATGGGTGCAGTTCCCCTCGCGCGCGCGTGGGGGCGCCAGGCCGACTGGGCCGCAGCTGGTGCTGCACAGCGACGCGCGGGCGGCATGTGCCACCGCCACCTTTTTTTGCCACCTGGTACCTTTCGGTGACAGCTCACTGTGCTCGCCTGGTTGCGCAGCCATCGCCACCCGGTGCGTGCAAACATTTCACGCACCCGGAGCAGAAACGCAGTGCCCTGCGTCTCTAACTCAGAGATCTCTGCTCCTCTCTGCTCGCTGGGTCTCTTTTGTCTGTGATCTCTGTGTCTCCTACTGAAATCTCTGTGGCTCTGAGACATCTCTCTCTCCCCTGCTGCCCTTTCTCTCTCTCTCTCTCGCTCTCTCTCACTTCATATCTGATCAGCTCACTCCTCAGACACACTCAGGGTGGGACTTCTTCCCAGCCTAGCAGGCTCCCTGGGGGTTCAGCGTATTCGTAGAAATCCCAGCTCCCACTCAGCGTCCTTCCTCTCCTAGATCACCAGGGGGAGCCCTAAAAAAGTAGGAGTCCCTGTAAACCGGTGCAGCCGTTTTAGCCAACAGTGGGGAGCAAATAAACCCCAACAAACCCTCGACCAAAGAGTCAATTCTGACTCACAGCGACCCTACAGGACAGAGTAGACCGGCCCTTGTGGGTTTCTGAGGCTGTCAATCTCAACGGGAGCAGATACTCTTATTAATATGTAACATCAATCCACCATCAGGGGCTCCTGTGAGTGACCCCAGGACCCAGGGTCTCCGCGTCCAACCCAACAGCACACATCTGCCCAGACAAAAGCCTGCCGCCCCTGGATGTCGATGACAGCACCAATGTTAGCAGCAAGCCAGGTGCCCATCAACGGGTGAATGGACGTGCCCTGACCATGAGGTATGACTCAGAGCTCTGAAAGAGACATGCAGTTCTGAAACACAGGCTGTGGCCCGGACGGAGGAACTTGAAGATGGTATCCTGCATGCAGTGAGCTCCACCCCAAAATCCAACGGCGGCACAACTCAGCAGAAAAGGCGTGGAGAGACAGTGGAGCGGAGCTTTATCAAGGCTGGGGCGGGGGAGGGAGGCCCAGCCTTTCTACTGGGGGCTGGAACATTGACTATTGTCCCATAGAGGAAGGGGACCAGGAAACACAGGGAGGAAGTGGGAAAAGTGACATCCCTAAACAAATAAACAATGCTATTGGGTCGATTCCAACTCACAGTGACCCCGTGGGGCAGGGCAGAACTGCCCCTGTGGGTTTCTGAGACTGTCACCCTTTATGGGAGTAGAAAGTCTCCTCTTCTTCTACGGAGTGGCTGGTGGATTTGAACCACGGACCTCAGGGTTAGCAGCACACTCCACCACGAGATCTCTTTGCCAGTGATGTCACATGTGTGGATTGCGCTGAATGACAGGAAACAATAAGCGTGTGATTTGTGGATGGAAAAGGCATCTGCTTTGTCAACGCTCACCCAAATGACAAAGGTTTTAAGAAGAGAAGAAGGAAGCTGTCTTTTAAAAATGGGTGAGGTCAAAATAATACTAATACTAATTTATAAATTATCAAGGGTTCATGAGGGAGGGATGGTGGGGGGAATGAGGAGCTGATACCAAGGGCTCAAGTAGAAAGAAAATGTTTTGAAAAGGATGACGGCAACATAGGCACAAATTGTGGTAAGAGCTGTAGGAGCCCCCCATGAAATGATTTAAGCAAAAATGGGTCGGGTCCTGTTTCTCATGCAGACCCCATGTTTCCTTCAGAGTCCCAGCCCGGGGTCTGCTCCGCCCCCACCCTCACCCACCCTGATTGAGACCAGCATCGGGGCCCTCATCTGCTACCACCTTCCCTCTGCTGCACTTGCTGCCTGGCTGGCTTGTCAGATGTGTTAGCAGCCTGCCCCTCAGCCCGGCAGCCCAGGACACTCTCCCCACAGACCCGCCCTTGGCTTCCTCCCGGCACTGCCACCAGCCAACCTCCTGCGTGGTCTCCTCATCTGCTTGGGACTGGGCCTCCCCTCATTGTTTGACTCGCTGCTGCACCCCAAACCCCGGCACGGGTGGCTTCTCAAACAGTCAACGGTGGTTACCTTGCACCCCATGATCTCCAGCTGCCTGCTACACCCCTGCCTCTCCTTCCAAAGGATCCCTGGTGGCGCGGCATATTAAGCTGCGGGCTGCTGCTAACCTCAAGGTGGGCAGTTCGAACCCACCAGCATCTCTGAAGGAGAAAGATGAGGCTGTCTGCTCCCCATAGAGACCGATAGTATTGGGGAACCCACAGGGGCAGTTCCACTCTGTCCTACAGGGTGGCTACTCCTCACAAAGGTTGTGAGTTTCTTTGTAGCTTTGTTTTGCGTCTCGCTGACTCTGGCTTCTGCCTGTCCCAGCCGGGTCCCGTGGCCCCATGTTACAGACAGAGAAAGCGAGGCTCTAAGCTCAGTCAGCGGGGCAGCAGGGCAGCGGCCCAGGTACCTGGTGTCTGAGCTCTATCAGCAGGGTAGGAGGGCAGCGGCCCAGGTACCTGGTGTCTGAGCTCCGTCAGCGGGGCAGCAGGGCAGGTACCTGGTATTTGTTGGTGGAGTTGAAGGGGATTTCTGCCACTTTCTTATTCCGTTCCCGCATCAGCTTCACGGAGCCCGAGGAGAGTTCGATGCATTTGAGGAGGGCTGACTCAGACGCGTCCCCGGCCACGTCCCTCTGTGGGGAGAGATGGCCGGCCGGCCGTGAGAGCGGTGGTGGCAGCAGAGGGTGCGGGGCAGGCAGGACCCGGCAGCGAGGGGACCCCCCACCTTCAGCACAGGGATGTTGTCCTGGCCGCCCTTGAAGACGGCGCGGTTGCAGAGACCGGCAATGTGGGACAGCGCCACCCAGGTGTGCGAGCTCTTGTCGAATGAGGTCCCTGCAAGGAGCAGCTGTCAGGGATCGGGGTGGGGGACCCCAACCTAAGCCCCGAAACCTCCCACCTCCACCCCCCGGCTCGGGCTCCGCCCTCACCTGACTGGTCCTCAGTGGTGTCGGCCTCGTGGATCTGATTGTCGAACCACATGTGGGCGACCGTCATGCGGTTCTGGGTGAGGGTCCCCGTCTTGTCCGAGCAGATGGTGGACGTGGAACCCAGGGTCTCGACGGCCTCCAGGTTCTTCACTAGGCAGTTCTTCCGAGCCATGCGCTTGGCGGTCAGTGTCAGACACACCTGGAGGCGGAGGAAGGACAGGTGAGTCACAGGCTGGGCCGAGGGGGCAGGCCGGGACAAAGAAGCCAAAGGGAGTCCTGGGTGGCCTGGGAAAGAACGGGGTCAACACCCCATGACCCCTTGAGCCCATTCTGACCCAGAGTGACCCCCAAGGGCAGAGCAGACCTGTCGCGGTGGGTTACTGAGAAGGTAAACGTTCATGGTCTGGTTTCTGTGGAGCCGCTGTCGGGTTTGAACCACCGGCTTTGAGAAGCCTAACTGGGGACTACCCACCACACCGAGAGGGTTCCAACAGGCTCCACGCTGACCCCAGGTGGTCGGCACTAGAATGTTCCTCCAACATGCTGTGCATTGCCTGTGGGGGCTTGTGTGTCACTCTGATGCTGGAGAGGGAGGCCTTGGGGGTTAAGAGCTGGGCCTCTAACTGAAAGGTCGGCGGTTCAAACCCACCCGGCTGCTCCCAGAGAGAAAAGATCCAGAGATCTGCTCCCATAGAGACACCAGCTGAGGCGGCCCGTCAGGCAGTTTCACTCTCTCCCACAAGTGGTGGAATAGTGGTTACCCATTGGGCTGTTCACCACAAGGTCAGCAGTTCGAAAACACCAGCCTCTCCATGGGAGAAAAACAAGGCTTTCTACCCCCATAAAGATTTACAGTCTCAGAAACCCACAGGGCAGTTCTCCCTGTCCTTGCCATCGGTGATGGGTGGGCACCCACCTGATAGCAGTGGGGTGGGCTTGCTAGCAGTCAGGAATAACTCAGCAGCACGCCCTGAACAGCCACAGGACGCTGGGGGCGATGCTGCCGGCATTTCAAACACCAGCAGGATCAGCATCGTGGACGGACCTTCAGCAGAACTTACAGATTAAGATGACAAAGACCGGCCGGTCAATCTACTTCCGAAACGGAGCCAGTGAAGCCTCGTGGAGCCCAGCAGAGAGCTGTCTGCTATGCGCCGGGAGGGGGCGCAGGACTGAGCAACACTTCCTTCTGTGGCACACCAGGTCCAGGGCACCCCTGACTAACGGACATTAGTGGAGCAGCAACTGAAACACTGCCCCACAGGGGAACCGTCAGACCCACCGCCCTGGGGCCCACCCTCGGTCCCAGCAACTTGAGCGTTTCAGAGAGAGCCTCGTCTGTTCCTGTTCAGAGCGGCTGCTGCGTTTGAACCGCTGACCTTCCGGTGAGCTGTCCCGACTAACCCACAGCAGAATAGGTAACTCAGTGGTGGGACACCCCTAATGCAACATCTGGTGCTGTCCAGTCTATTCCGGCTCCCAGTCACCCCACAGGACAGGGGAGGGCTGCCCCACAGGGTTTCTGAGGCCGCCAGTACCGGGTCGCTATGAGTCAGGACCGACTTGAAATGTTTGCAGCATTGAGAATATTTTTCTCAAAAGCAATCCAGATGCAGAATCCACAGCAGGGGCCTTTCTGGGTCCCTCGAAAAGGTCATTAGACCCACAGCTGCTATGTCAGTGCCCCTCGGGAGACGGAAGGGGCTGGGGTCCAGAAGCTGGTTATTTGGGGGTTGAACTAGTATGCTTTCTTTAGACTTTTTACCCTGAGCCTGCAATCCTTGACTGTGGAGGCTGACTTAGAAAGGTCAGAGGATTGTTGGCCCTCTAGGCTGCTCAATGTTTCTCCGCGTGTGTGTGTGTGTGTGTGTGTGTGTGTGTGTGTGTGTGTTGCCTCTGGGAACCAGGAACCTCCTCAGAGGATCTCAGAGGCTCGGCTCTTCGTGGCCCAGGTGACCTTGTCAAGAGCACCGGAGTTCTGGGC